ATGAGGCTTCTTGGAGGAGGCAGCGATGGGGATTGTGAAAGAGATTTTCAATTTTAGCTCTTTAGAAGCTGACTTTTGTAGCACAGGTGCTTGTGCCGCTGAGAGGAGGGTGGGGGAGAAGACCCATCTCTTCTCCCCCTCCCCTTGTATCCACTTATGAATACACTTAATAGCTGTGCCCGAATTTTTTTTTTTGTTATTTGGTGATAAGCGTGGGACATTTTTAGGTATTCCTACATGATTGATAACATCATTCTACTGATAACAGGAACGCTGCACCAGCGACCAATTAACGAACTCATCTCGAAATGCCATCCGCTTGGATCGTTCGAGCAAATGGAAGCAATTCACATTGCATCAACGCCAGCCGAACTTTACAATGCTGTTCTTGTGGACACTCCGCTAGGTACCCCTTGGCACCTTCATTTCAGTTATTCGAAATAACAAAAGAAGTGCAAAATCATAATCGTAGGAAATCGCACTCGATATTTATTGCATAATTTCGGAATTGCTGTTGATTGGAAGGGGATACTTTTAACTGATTACCTAGTCGGTAAAATACTTCATCATCGTAATATAAGAATGCAACGTTTGAGCCAAAACAGATGCATGCCCAAAATAATCACTGTTGGAACGGCTGAAGTCTTACCAGATACTTTTGTTTTTAGCTGATAATTCCTTCAGTAAAAGTAAATTTATGCCAGGATTGTCAGCAGGCTAAAGTATGTGTTCCTACTCCGTGTGTCATCCTGCCGTTTTAAAATTTTCGCTCATACGCGCTTGGATCTTGCATACGGACACCCGAAAAAAGTATGCAGATTTCTTCGGCGGGAAGCGATCTCGCGAATTAGTAGGCAACGGAGTATTGGTCAAAGAATTGGAAATGTTATCAGTTGCATAGTCGGGGAATCATACTAAAAATTGCAGCTGATTTAAGTAATCCAAGTGTAATAGGTTGCTGAATTCATTACTTAATTGTGAGCGGCAGTTGGCAGTTATAACTACTGGAAGAGCCGATGTCATTAAATTCAAAATTTTTTTTTATCTCATCAAATGTTTTTTGGTTTTTTTTCGAAGTTTTATTTGTCATACGGCAGGAAAAAAAATTTCTGATGCTTTATTTGAAAGCAGCATTAATTTTGGGATGTATTTCGTTGACAGTGTTCTTTTTAGCCCCATATTTTGTTGACTGCATCAATGAACAGGATCTTGACGAAATGAATGTGGAGATTATTCGCAACACACTGTACCGCGCTTATCTCGAAGACTTCTACAACTTTTGCAAACGTCTGGGCGGCAAAACCGCCGAAGTTATGAGCGAAATTCTCGCGGTAGGCCATCAATCATTCCTTCAGCCATGCCTTGGGGCTATCTGTGCTTCAGGAGTGAAAACGGTATTTCAGTGTTTTGCTTTCAGTTTGAGGCAGATCGACGTGCCATTATAATAACAATCAATAGCTTCGATACGGAGCTCTCAAAGGATGATCGTTCCAAGCTGTATCCGCGTTGCGGGAAACTTTACCCTGAAGGTAATCCTTTTAAAGCCGTACTAATATTGATGCGATAAAAGTGTTTTTTACCAATACAACAAAGATTTATAGTTTTTTCCTACACCAGCTATATTTCTACATCTATACATACACAGTTCGTTCTAGTCCTGCCCTATTTAAGCTCTTAATATTACTCGTATGCTAAAACCATGCTACAGTTAACTTAGCTAAAAGCTTCTAACTTTATTGGTCCATTAAGGATTG